AGCTGTTTGCTTGTGTCGTCAGGACAGCATTGATATGCCCCTAAAATATATCCACACGGGCATTATCTCACTTTCAAAACATCATGAAGCACTTTGAATATAAGATTGTTACTCCAAACGCTGACTATCATTGTCCTTCACATTTCTAGGCATTTGCTGAAAGCATGTATCTCGCGCGACGTCTTTTTTTTAAATGGGTTTGAATGTAACCGTAACGCTACAGTGCCCTGAATTACCGAAATCGGTGTAGCTATGGCAGTTTTTGAAATCAACGCCTTAATGAAACCCGTGCAGAATTGTGTTGCTAAATGATGCGGGGGTTTTCGCTCTCTGTCTCTCTGAATATCGATATTCAACCCTAGTAGGAAAGCTACAGGCTAACATGGCAGCCATGTTAGACAACCAGGGCTTGTGTTGTTGTCTCAAAACTGACCTCCTGAGAAAAGACTTGAAAGGTGGAGGGTGCCAGAGAGGTAGCCCACACGTTAGCTTATTAGCATAGCGTCGGAAGAAAGCTCACCCCCTCCCAAACAGCTAAACAAAAGACAAACAAAAATGTTTGGTGCTACACCTTATCTGACTTGATTATGGGGAAAGAGCGTACGAGTATGTTAAGCTATTAGCCCTTCCTTAACTTGTAATTGTGTCTTGTATTTTTTTTATATGAATATATATTTTGTTTCAGGCCAGCTAAATGTCTAAAAAGGCATGTGAACTTTATGCTAAAAAGATTATTTATCCAAGAAAGAAATATAAGCTGATCCAAACTATATGTCTTTGAGAACAATCCAGTGACCCGTTGATTGCACAGTAGTGAAAACATAGAACTCAGCATATTTTTGGGAATATAATCACTAAAGTCTTTGATTTTCGTTTTAGATTTGTTGTTTATCGACAATTCTGAGTGTCTTTTGTTAGCTAAGCAATGATGCTGTCCTCGAATCATTTTCTGTAAAACTCTTTAGTTTAAATCTTCAGGTTATGTGTAGGCCTTCTATGGTATGAATTAAGCTAAATCGAAGCTTAACTTTAGCTAAATTAAGCTAAACTAAGCGAACGTAAAGTGAACGCTAAGATTAAATAAAGCTGAGGCCAAGCTTTTGTTTCAAAGAACATCAAGGTCAATGTTCAAGCTAGTTGATCTTCAAGAAAGCTTGCCACCCTCATTCTGTGCAATGCCAGGGTCATTCACCCGCAAGTCACTTTTAAAGATCCCTCCGTTCACGGGTATTTGCTTTTTTTTTTCATTTAAAATAATTTTGATTCTTTAAAAAGCTTTTTATGTTACTAAACTAGAAATTATACAGCTATCACTTTCTTCAAGAAAGAAAATGTTGTTGTTTTTTTCCAAATATAATTTGTATTTAATGCCTTCTTTTTTGAATAAAAAATGTAAACACTATTTTTATTTACAGGATGACAGATTGTAATTTCACAGCTTCTACAAAATTAAAGGGATTGTTCACCCTAAAATGAAAATTCTGTCATATTCTTTCATTTGCTCCATTGAGGTCCAATGTTGTTCTGGGTCTTTCATTCTATGGACAAAAGCAGTCCTTCAAAATATCTTCTTTTGTGTTTCACTGAATATACAGATTTGGAATGCCATAAGGATCATAAATGACAGATTTTTTTTTTTTTTTTTTTGGGTGAACTAAACCCTAGGACAGAGCATATGTGGTTCATATAGTTCTGATTTGCTTTTAGTATTATTCATTCATTTAGATAAGGTGGCTAGTGTCACTGTTAAGAGTTTCAAAAACAATGGTTTTCACATTAGCTACAGTAATTCTGTCATTAGTATAACCGAGTGCCGAGGGGGCAATGGAGATTTAAAATCTCATGTGTAACAGGGTCAACATCTTTGAACCGCTTCATTTCACACTCTAGCTTGAGCCCCACACAGGTCATTACTCCTCAAATCTACACACAGAGACCCCATTCACATTAGCATAGTTATTCGCTTGTCCGTGCCATGTCAGCGCAGCCAATTCTCAAAAAAGAAGCTGTGATGCCACAATTCATGAAATGAAATTGCTCATATGGATGAGGTCAAATACTCTGGATGGTACCCCCCACCCCCACCCCTCCACCCAATTCTGGATGCCATGCAAATACTAATTGTAAAACCACAAGAAATGTGTTACAATGCAGCATTACTTGCAAATTGTGTTTGTTTGGTTTGGTGCCAATCAAATAATTTACTCAAGTGAGGTTGGGCAACAAAATATTGTCTCCTGCGGTTTACAAAAATGAGATAAAGGTGTAAAGTGTGGTCCACAGAGGCTGGTCATCTGGTAAAAGGGGAGGGCGTACTACAGCACAAACACAGCACAGGTCAAATGCACCGTAGAGAGTGGAGCCCGGTTCCCCAAAATACTGAGCTAAAGTTAGTCCGCTCCATTTGAGATTACCACGATAAGGACACACATATGTGCACACATACACGGTTCTGCCTCCAGGCAGTTTTAAACAGAGGTGGAAAGTAACGAATTACATTTACTCGCGTTACGTAATTGAGTAGTTTTTTTGTGTACTTCTACTTTTTTAAGTACTTTTTAAAATCTGTACTTTTACTTTTACTTAAGTATATTTTCTTTGAAGTATTGTACTTCGCTACATTTGAAATCATATCCGTTACTGAGTAAAAAATAATAAAAGAAAAAAAAAACACACTCCGGAAACTACAGCATTGATTGAAGGGCGGGAGAACAAACGCGCAAAAAAGGTGACGCAGACCCAGCTGAAGCTGAAACCGAAGCGCCAAGCGAATTATGGCCTGTAGAAAAAAAAAGCGTGGTAGTACTCGAGGATAGATATCCAATTTGCAAAAAAATGTGGACGCAAAGTGGCTGCAAAAGGAGGATATAGGACACCATCCCTCCTGCAGATAAAGGTATGTCCCGATTTACGTGATGCAGAGGGAACCCCGGAATCCAGTCATGAAAATGAAATTTACATAACGCAGATGTCACGTAAAACACGCAAAATAATGGATGGATGAATACATGGAAAGTAGAACTGTGCAATAAATCCAATCGCGACATGGTCTGTGAATATTTAAGCTTAGCACAAAAATACTGCATAAACCCTATTTGTTCTGCTGAGCTGCGCCGCTTTGTCTACTACATACTCAAGTACGCGTGACATTTAGAGTCTCACAAACAATTTGAGGATATGAATACATGAACATTTCCAGAGCTGCTCTGAGAGAACGCCTAATGAGCATTTTCATCATTTTATTTGAGATAAACCATTGTCAAATACACTTTGAAACACTTTTTTACACTTTTGGTCTTCACTACAACCCGTCAAAATAAAAGTTTGGTTTTACTAGGAGAAATTAGGACAGAAATATATTACTATTATAGGCATACAATAGAACGTAGCCTACTTCTCTAAATAATAATAACAACAACAATAATAATGCATTTTATTTAAACATTATTTAAAGGAATATATTTTTTGTCCATGGTTTAATTTAGTAAATCTGTTTTTGCAGCGCTTCCCCAAAAAATAAAAGGACACAATTTTAAATCTACATTTGATTACAACCGTTTTTGATCATATATTTGGATTAAATCATAAAAAGAAACATTAATTTTCTGAATAAAATACATTTCATGGGATAATATTTTTCTTAAACATTTTCATAAATTATTAATGTTAAAAATAAGTTGTTAATCTAATTCATTATCAATTATCAAATTTAATTGATTAGACATGTTTTATTGAAATTTTAATAAACAAAACAAACAAATGGTTTCAAGTTTGTTATAATAAAAGCATTTGTTCAACCAAAAAAAAAATCCTGTTTTCATTAAAGGGGCACTTCACCTCTGGAAAGATGAATGTGTATTTAAAATGGGTCTGGGTCATTTATGTAGAAGAAATGAGCACGGTAATTCGAAAATACTACAGGTTTTCTACTGATACAAAGCTTAATGCTAAATCCTGAAGTGACCCTTTAATTTAACTGTCATTTTAACTGATGATGATAAATAATAATACCCATAATTTAATAATACAGTTTATTTATTTATTAATTGATTAATACTGTAAACCGTGATATTTTCTGAGACGTTATCATACTGTGAAAATCTCATACCATTACAAGCCTACAAGGGAGAGTCCCCCACCCCCCCTGTTAAAAAAGTTACTCAGTAACTTTTACTCTGAGTAAATTTTAAATGAGCTACTTTTTACTTTTACTTGAGTAGATTTTTAGACCAGTACTTTTACTTGTACTTAAGTAAAATTTAATTGAAGTAGTAGTACTTTTACTTGAGTAGAATATTTTATTACTCTTTCCACCTCTGGTTTTAAATATAGACAAGACTGAACATAATCAAGCTTGGCAGGAGAAATGGAGATTTTTTTTGCACTTTGTGGTTTTGTGCTAACGGGTTTCCCATTATGCTCAGGTGTTGTTGTTTTGTCCTGACATTGCTAATTGAGTTTGATTGACCACAGCTCCTCGTCTGACCTGAGGGCAAGTTTAAATGACTGACACTGTGTTCTTGTAAAGATGATTTATTAAATAGTTCTTTTTTTTTATACCCACAATGACTTGTCCATGAAAAATATGTTATACACACAAACAAATGCTTTGGAGTGAAGCAACGTCTGAATCTCTTTTCCTCAGTGTAGACATTGCATCGCAAAAACAAAACAATTTTATAAAAATAAATGGACCACAGTATGTAGACAACACAAATAGCCTATGATTGACAAATACAATAAGACTGCAATACCACTTAGATCATACAGGCAAGTATTTTACAAACATAAAAATAGCCCACTTGAGCTCTTAACTTAAAAACCGGAGGTAGGAACAGGCAGTTACCCGTTTCAAAAGCTGTGAAGATCAATACTTTTGAAAAAACATAGAAGGGGGGGGGGGGGGGGGGGGGGGGGGGGGGGGGGGGGGGGGCACTTTTATGCCCATCTGATCTCAATCATTTTAAAACAAAAACAATGAAAATTCATTAGTAAAATATAATAATAGAAAAACAAAACATATACAGTATAAAAATATGGCAATGTACGGACAGTGACAAAGAGGTTTGGTCATGCAGTGCTTTTTTCCATTTCATTCCTTTCCAACAAAGCAAGCCTGGAGGAAGTTTAAGATAAGAGACACAGATACATCAAATATACAGATTTACACCATACAAAAATATGTATAAGGCATAAGGAATAAATATTCTTATCCAGATATCGAAATGAATACATTCAGTTCAAATAAATAAGTATGGGTACTTCATGTAAAATACATATTTTCTTTACAGAAAAATAGATTTTCTTTTCCTTTTTTTGGAGAGTTCAGGGAATTTACCAATCAAAAACAGTGTACCTGAATTAAATACCACCACTAACAATAAATAAATACTAAGATATTAAAAAAAATATATATAATGATAAAATTCAGTGGTATTACATGTGTTTGTATGTGTGTGAGAGAGATCAGTGGTTGAGCTGTGTGTGTGTGTGTGTGTGTGTGTGTGTGTGTGTGTGTGTGTGTGTGTGTGTGTGTGTGTGTGTGTGTGTGACAGATCAGTGGTTGAGTTCCTCGGGACACTCGGCATCTGCTGGCAGGTCACTTGATCCAGGAATCTTCTTCCCATTCCAGGATGACACACACCAACACTTCCCCCTCTGACCATCCAGAGACGATTCACACTGCGGGGGAAACCAGACAGAGAGAGTGAGACGGGTTATTTCATTCTCTAGAAACACAAGCTTGCAAGCACAGCCTAGTTCTCAGTCGAGTGTTGTTCTAACACTCGGCCATCACACGTATATCATCGTGTTGTTGAATATCACACATTAAGCTTTATATGCAAACAAACACAAACTCTCAATGTGAAATCAGGACTCGTTGGTTTGGTTTCAGTAATATTTGCACACAAGACTCTGCTTACCTGTTTGACTTTGTATAGACCATGTTTGTCACAATTTGGAAGGTAGAATCGGTTCATTTTGTCTCCCAGTTTCTGCTGTGATTTGGTGATCTTGTCAAGGGCTGTCTGGAGCTCAATATGACAAGGGCCCTAGAGAGAGAAAATATGGTCATTTAGAGACGTTTTTCAAATAAAATAGTGATTTTTTTTTAAATATTTCTAAACTTTTATTTGGTGGTACGTAATATTTTACAACAACCAATTATTCTTATTATTACAACAACAACCACTACTAATAATACAAAATATTTAAATTAAATAATTTCCACATTTTAATTATTTTTATTAGCTCTTTTATTATTTTAATTATTAGCTCTAAAAAAGGCATCAATCCATGCATCCCAAATAAACACTCAGCTTTGCCCCATGTGTCTATAGATAAATTCAAGAAACCCTCTACTGCCCTCTTGTGGCCGCACATGGTACCGGAGTCTCGTTTTATATCTAGCTAACTAACCTTTACGCATTTCTTTGGGACATGTATAAAACTGAGGTGCCTGAAGCTCACCTGCTCCACCAGTTTCTTGCGTATTGCGTTGACTTTGGCCTTCATGCTCTCTTTAGCGGTGATGACCCGTGGGTCGAAGGGCTTGCCGTGCCCGGTCACGAAGACCGCTGAGCTGCCTTCATTCACTGCCGTTGCCCCGTTGAGAGTTTCGGGATGATCTGAAAGAAAAGTCATGGTGAGAATTATTGGAGTGATTGGCCAGATTGAATTGTGTAAAAAAAAAAAAAATCTCAATTGTTTCTACCGATACATTGAGATTGAGTTTTCAAACGTTAAATGTAAAAATCTGATAAATTAGTCAGAGCACATATGTGTATATAGGCCTATTTCCACCTGTCTTCAAAATAGGCGCTAAAAGAACAGAAGTCACCGACTCGCGTTCCCCTTAGCAGAGGAGGTAACCATGACAACGGAACGTCGCTCACGCACACTCTATTCAGATTAGATTCGGGCGGCAAGTCAATACATTTAATTATGATGAGTCAAGTCTTAAAATTTGTAGCCCTATCATTTTCTTTATAGATTTACATGTCATAAAACTTTCCTTTCTTTTTTTTAATTGAGGTTTGCTCGACCAATCACGCGCCTTTTGGGTGCATTTATAAGCAAATGTTGCAGACATATATATTTTTTAATTGATTGAATAGTCGACCTCTTGAAACCTGCGATATATTCGCTAAAATAAATATTGATTATCTAAATATCTGAAACATCCAACTTGTTAGCGCTGATGAAATCTCGTCAGCGGTTGAATCATCGACAGCTGCAATGGTCTGTTTGGATGCCCGGCTATAGTGCAGTATATGAGACGCTGGTACCTGGCGCTGTGTCGCTTTGGCTCTGGTCAGGCTCGGGGGTCGCAGTGCACACCGCCTGTCCTCGGGTGAGAGCATGCAGGGGTCGGGCTTCTCCGGGTTTCGGCAAGCAGCGGAGCCCCGAGCCGCAGGGCGCAGTGTAGATCCCGCACGGGTCCCCTCTCTTCAGCGCGCAGGCGAGGCAGCAGCCGCAGCCGGGCTCTCGAAGCACCTCCTCACAGCCGGCATCCACCGCAGGACACTCGGCCTGCCGCTCCGAGGAGCACGGGGCGCAGCGAATAGGTTCCTGCCCAACCACTGGAGAAGCGCGGAGCCCCGGCGCTGAAAGGAGTGCGCTGAATGCTGCCACCCAGAAAAAGTTCAGAAGCAGTCTGTTCATCCCAAAGCAAGGCTCAGAATAAATAGATAAATAAATAAATATCGTCTGAAGTAAAATGAGGAGTTCCTCGCTGTCTTTGCGCTCTTCTAAATGACTAGCTCACTCCGGGTCGCCTCGCGGTATTTATACGCGCACCGGGTCCCGCTGACACGCTCGTGTTTGACGCATTGGCAATATCAATGATTTCTTAAATGATCCCCCTCGACTCCAATTGGCTGGTGGAGATCCAGTCCGAGGTGTTTCCTCGAACACAGCGCGTAAAATGCGTCACTATATCAGAACACAATGTACATAATGGTGGGGGTAAAAGTGTGTTTACTACCCCAGAAGAATCATATCCGAATAACAATAATAAGGTGTCTTCTCCATAGGTTCAATCAAGCAATTCAGCAGGAATTTACATCTATGTTATTTTGAAATGACCACCCTAACTGTTGTATTCTCAATATGATTGCAATTGTGTGTGTGTGTGTGTGTGTATATATATATATATAGGCAATATATATATATATATATATATATATATATATATATATATATATATATTGTAGCCTATTTATTGTTATTATTGTAAATTCCTCCAAAAAAACTCAACTTATGGTCTTATAGTTAAACCAGGCAGTAGCCTACATTGACAGTTAGTAGCCTAATAATTCCTAATAACTCATTTGAACAATTCAGCTTCATTCTGGATCATGCCATTCATTCACTACAACAAAAAAGTGAAAGTATGCCTATTTGTAGTTCTCTCTTCAAATCTAATTTTCCTTGCAGTTTTAATTTTTAATAGACCTACCTGACCAACCTATTAAGCATGTTGGGTTTGAAATTTGTGATTTATTTTAGGACGGGACGAACAAAGCTCCTCATTCATTAAGTTCCCCTTGAAAACTCTTATACAACCAATTTAGGATGCCAAATTGTCGCGTCCCAGTCCTTTGGTCTGGCTTTCATTTGACGCGTTTATTTGGCGCCCGTAATGAGGTGAGAGAGCGCGCGCTCCTCCATCAATGTGGCACCGCGTGCGTGAAGTACGTGACCTCACTCAGGTCAGGACGGGACCCCGTTTTCGAAAGGTCGAGACTGCCGCTATTGTCATTGCTCTGGCCCTTTCCTAGTATAATAATAGCCACTCGGGTGGGTAAACGACATGATCATCTACACGTCTCCCCCTCTCCACGACGCGCGTCGCGAGGCCTTTTGTCGTGGCCTTGCCGCGGAGTTTATGAATGGGCCACAGGATGTGACACTCAGCTGGAGAAGGGCGCTTTAATAATGTGTCAACCGCTGAGCTCTCCAATATCTCTGAAGGGAGTTTTGTGAGATCACATGATCCACGCAAGTGTCTTACGTTGTTGCATCATATATATATTTTTTTTTTTTCAGCGCGTGGAGTGTTTCTCTGAGTGTCACGTGATAGAGTTGTCCGTCCGTGTTGGTGTAGAAGCTGGAGTATCTGCTGACGTAAATAAAGCGGCACGGGCGTCGTCATACCAGTAACAGTACTCCGCTCCTCTATCAAAAACCTCAGGCATGAATGCCAAGAATACATTGCAATTTAGGATTAATCATCTGAAAGTCTAAATGTTGTCAGACTATAGGATATTGTTACAGTGACAAAAATAACACACACACAGTGTTTTCTCTAGGCCTACAGTCATTAGGTCCGTAACACAATGCTGAATAAGCAGCTAGTATGAAACATAATAGGCTACGTTTAAAAAAAAAAAAATCCAAATTATATTATCACCCTCAATCATGTCTCAAAACTCCTAATTTCTGTTTCCTTCCTTTCTCATGTTGGTGGTCAACATCATAATGTCTAGAGCTATTTTGCTTAGATAGTGTGTGTGTGTGTGTGTGTGTGTGTGTGTGTGTGTGTGTGTGTGTGTGTGTGTGTGTGTGTGTGTGTGTGTGTGTGTGTGTGTGTGTGTGTGTGTGTGTGTGTGTGTGTGTGTGTGTGTGTGTGTGTGTGTGTGTGTGTGTGTGTGCGTGCGTGCGTGCGTGGGTGTTGCACTTAGAAATGATTTTGATACCCGGCTCTAGATGAAGAAAAAAAAATTAAGTTAAGATCTCTTGAGAAATTACTTTTGTCAAAGTTAACAAAAAACACAGTCAAGATTTCGAAAAAAAGAACAATAAGTTGATCCAATTTCAATGTAAGAGCTCTTAGAACTTCCATATAAGATACAATTATTTATATCCCTTTTTCAATTCTTGTTACTATTCTCATTTTTAGCACACTGGTGTTTTACAAGGTATGCCATGCTATGAGAATTATCATAGAAGTATTAGTTCTTTTTCTCACTTCCTCAGCTGGTAACAACCTAATATATAGTATTTAGAATCTTAAATAATTTGATCTTTGTAAACCCACACAGTAAACCTCCCATATTTGATTTCTGTGTCTAAATTGCTAAGAAAAAGACATTTCTAGCCATTTGATAGAGCTTGGGTTATGGTTGCATTGCATGTGACTTAAACAAGCGTGCAGTTGTGCATGTCACTAAATAGCAAGTGGCGTTTCTGCTGTAGTATGACAGGTGGTTGTTTTATTGCAGCAGAAGCAATGCGCATCTATGTTTCCATTCACAGAGGGGCTTCTGTGTTTGTGTTTTCAGCCCAAATTAGACAAAAACAAACCAGTTGGACATTTAGCTTAAAAAAAATGTAACCCCTTTGAGGGAATAAAACGATTAAAACATCAGGCCCATGTCCTTAAATAACCATCCCCCCACTCCACCCCCAACAAGCCCATCTTTATTAAACAACCTAACCAAATGACCTTGTTTTTCCTGAATAAAGGAATGTGGAAGTGTGTTAAGCCTTGTGGGAGTGAGTGCTGACTGAACATCCTCAGACCCTTGAATATGTCTTCCCCTTACAAGCTTAATGAAGTAAATCCGATGTTAAGGAGAGCCATTTCGACATCTTGTCTCGAGGATTTTGGGAGGCTGATATCATTGACACATTCTCAACTTTGACATCAAAGAGACTGAAAAACCGAAAAGAAAAGAAAAAAAACACCAGACAAAGTCTTCACAACAGTGTAATTTAGGGTCAGGGCCAGACCCAGTTTGAAAGAAGCAGAAACAACATGCACACCCACAATGACATCAGCAGAACCAACATAAACAGCACGACATAAAAGATCATGTGCATTGCAAAACAACCTCTTACATTTGACTCCAATCAAAGAAGAGGAAAACTTACAAACTGACACAAAGACTTTCTGATTAAATAACAGAAGTGTGGATCACTCGCATTTAAAAAAATGGACTAGCATCCGCATTTAAGCTGCTGACTCTAGACTTTGAGCATGAAAAACTTCTTCGGACACTAATGAATCAACATGCACCACTGCCAAATTTCTATATATTGTAATCATTATGATTACAACTTGTAATAACTGCTATGAGATCAATGTTTCTGCCTAAGTGAAATGTAAAAAATGTAAAAAGATCTACTCAGCTTTTCTGCAGTCCTGCTATGGCATATTGTTCTTCTGGTAACACTTTATTTTACATTTGTTACACACATTACATGTAGGCTAGGTGTATAATTACAGTATAATTACAGTAAATGATGCATTACATGCAACTTACCCTAAACCAATCCCTAACCATTAGTAAGTAAATGTTGTTTATTAATATTACTCAGTTAATGTATAGTTACACTGTAAGGACTTTAAAATAAAGTGTAACCCTCCTTCTATGGATTGGCCACGTACACACTGCAGCTAAATTCGGTTGTCAGTTCACCTTTTAGTGCTAATTCGCGTTGTGTACGGGTAGGCTACACACGGTTCAGTAAAATACGGGAGTGACAACCTCATTCTACAACCGAATTACATCCCGGAAAATTCAGAGGGACAACCGCATTTAGCTACAGAAATTACGTATGTACGGAATCGAACTGAACAACTAGGCTATATATGACGGTTTTTTTTTTTTTTTTTTTATTACGTGTTTCTCTCTTTTAGATGTGCGGTGAAGAAATCACAGCAGCACGAGCACAGAGTGTTGCCAGATCCATGAACTGAAATAAATCCAAATGCTTTATGCTGAAATAAGACCCACGAGCATAGGCGGAGTTTGGGGGGGGCTAGGGGGGGCACTGCCCCCCCAGACCAGAGCCAATTAATGCCTGCCTTGTGCTTTAAAAAAAAAAAAAAAATACTGTATTCATATTTTCTCATTTTATTTGTCTTATCTTATCATTTTTGCGGGTATAATGAGTAAGTTAAGGCTAAATTATTTTTAATTACTGTATTGAAAAAGAAGCTAATTTTCTCACGACTGGCGGATCTCAAAGTATCGCGGTAAGTGAGGAATTTCCTGTGTGTTTTTCGCGTACAGACACGTCCGTTCACATGGATCCCCAAAAAGGACTAAAACCGCTGTATTATTCATGCCAGGCCGACTCTCCATGAGAGGATAAAGAACAGGCTGCGGTTGACGATGGGAGCAGCCAGGTTTTCTTCTCTTGCGATCCTTCACATCGAAAGCGACATTACGGCCAAGCTCTCACCTGAGACCATTATCGACGCAGGACGCAAAAAAACGAAAATTACTGTTGCACTAGTCTGAGCAATATCTAGGTCTGTAAGTTTTATTTCTCTGCCAAATAACTGCTTAAGATGGAGAAAAACTCAACACACTGCTTTCAATATGCTGTTCAATATGTTTCAAAAGTGGAGAGTAGGCTATGTGACCGTTAATTTTTCCCGTGTCTCAATGTTTTAAATGTTTCATGAAATGGCTACAACAAAATGCGAAATAACTTTTTTTTTTTTAATCGCTCTCATTGCCACAATTGTGTTTCAAACGTGGAGAGTAGGCTATTGTGTGACTGTTCATTTTTCCCGTGTCTCAAAATGTTTTAAATGTTTCATGAAGTACAATAAAATGCGAAATATAACTTTAATCACTCTCATTGCCACAATGTGTTTTGAAAAAAGGAAAGAAAAGAAAAACTAAAAATCTTTTTGTTTTGGTTGAAGATAATATTTTAACAGTGCAAAAGTGGTCCACATTTCATTTATCCTAATTGTGTCCGAACGACAATGATTGCTACATGAATGAATGAATGAATGCTACAATGATTTTTTTTTTTTTTGCCCCCCCTGGCTCGAATGTCAAACTCCGCCTATGCCCACGAGTCACGACTG